AAATAATGGCAGGGCACAGTGGCTCATGCTTGCAATCCCAGCACTCTCGGAGGCTGAGGCAGGTGGACCACCTAAGGTCAGGAATTTGAGACCAGCCTGGCCAACATGGTGAAACCCTGTCTCTACTAAAAATACAAAAATTAGCCAGGTGTGGTGGCAGGTGCCTGTAATTTAGGCTACTCAGTAGGATGAGGCAGCAGAATCATTTGAACTCTGGAGATGGAAGTTTTCAGTGAGCCGATATTGCACCACTGCACTCCAGCCTGGGTGACAAGAGCAAAACTTTGTCTCAATAATAATAATAATGGTAAATATTTCTTGAGGTAAAATACAAAAATGTTGACAACTCTGCTCCACTTCCTAAAATCCTTCAGAAATTTTTACAATTCCTCTGAAACTCTGTGAGCCAGCAATTCAAGATATTTCATTGCTTTTAAGTAGTTCAGAACTGGAACTGTGTATTGGCACATTTTCTAGCTTTCAGAGGATAAAAATAATGTTTATCAGCATGGGGATATCGTTGCTTATTCAATTACCCCCAAGCTAAGTTGACCTACATTTTCTTTTTTCTTTTCTTTCCTCCTTTTTTTGTTTTTTGAGACAGAGTCTTGCTCTGTCCTCCACGCTGGAGTGCAGTGGCATGATCATGACTCTCTGCAGCCTCCTCCTCCTGGGTTTAAGCAATTCTCGTCCCTCAGCCTCCTGAGTAGCTGGGACTACAGGCACACACCACCATGCCTGCCTATTTTTATATTTTTAGTAGAGGTGGGGTTTCACCATGTTGTCCAGGCTGGTCTTAAACTCCTGACCTCAGACAATCTGCCTGTCTTGGCCTCCCAAAGTGCTGGGATTACAGGCATGAGCCACTGTGCCCAGCTGACCTAAATTTTCCAATGAGGAACAATTTCTATTATACATTGAGTGGAACATCACTAATACAATACATATTACCATCATCATTATAATTTATAAAAATAATGTTGATTGATTTTCACTTTTAGGGAGATAGACTTTTCCCTGAGTAAAACTGAAAACCTTGGACACTATATATAAAACAAACATAAAGTGACTCTGAAAACTGAATTGGGACTAAGGGTCAGTTCTCTATTTTTTGTTTTCATTTCACATATCTCAGATTTGGAACTGAAGAAGTTGGTAAACTGGAAATACCAATGGGTGCAGATGCAAAAAGCTCCAATAAAAACCCTGTTCTTGTTAGAGAATGGGCAGTTTAGCAAGACTGGAAACTAGAGACAATAACTGCTTTACATCAGCCAAAACACAGCAGAATAAAACTGTGGCCACACCCTACCCATACCAGCAAAGCCTCAACTAAGAGCCTAGACTGCCACTCACTCTAGGCTGCAGTGAGGCACTTGGAATCCCTTGCTAAAGTGGTATCAGAAAAGGCTCAGTAGGGAGCTGAGACTTTTGTTCTCTTCCCCTCAAGCAGTAATGAACCCACTTCCCCAACCCGGTTTGTACCCCACCCCCCATGATGTCAGTAGACATCACTTGGAAAGCTTACTTTGCCTTAATGAGATACCAGGGCAATCCCCCTCATATGGTTTGGCTGTGTCTCCACACAAATCTCATCTTAAATTGTAGCTTCTATAATTCTCATGTCTTGTGGGAGGGACCCTGTGGGAGGTAATTGAATTATGAGGTGGCGTCTTCTTGTGCTGTTCTCCTGATAGTGAATAAGTCTCATGAGATCTGATGATCTTATAAGGGGAAACGCCTTTCACTTCATTCTTATTCTCTCTGACCTTGCACTATGTAAGACATGCCCTTCCCCTTCTGCTATGATTGTCAGGCCTCCCCAGCCACATGGTACTGTGAGCCCATTAAATCTCTTTTCCGTTACATATTACTCAGTCTCAGGTGTGTCGTTATTAGCAGTATGAAAATGGACCTGCTCCTAGTCAGATCTTCCCATCCTTTTCCTCCCATCCATGTGGTGTTAGTAACGAAGGACTCCAACCGTTCAGGCAGGAATATAGCAGCGGAGATAAAAACAAACACAAAGCAAGTGGAAGAAAAGAAAGGAAAAATAAAGAGTGGAAATCAATGAAACTGAAGTAAAAACAGTAGAGACCTATTCTTGAAATAAAGAACTGGTTGCTTGCAAAGGTTAACACAGTTGAAACCTCTAGTAAGGCAATGAAAAAAAGAGAGACAACACAAATTACCAATTTCAGAAATGAGACAGGAACATCACTACAGATCCTATGTACATCAAATGAATAATCAGGGAATGCTACAAAAATTCAATACATATATGTTTGGCAATTTAGATGAAAGGGACTAATTTCTCAAAAAATGCAAACTGCGATAACTTATCAAACATGAAATTGAAAATGTAAATAACCCTATAACTAACAAGGAAATCAGATTTATAATTGATAAAGCAATTTTTCAGGCCCAGATGGTTTCACTGGAGAATTCTACCAAATATTTAAAGAATTGCTAACACTGCTACTACATAATTTCTTTCAGAAAATCAAAGAGAATACTTCTCAATTCATTTTTGAAGCTAATAACTCCATTACAAAAGTAGAAAACTAGACACTAATATCCCTCATGAATATAAATACAAAACTCCTTAATAAAATATAGTTACGTGATGCACAGCAATGTTTCAGTGAACAACAGACTGCACATATGACAGTCATCCCATAAGTTCATAGTACCAAATTTTTACTTTACCTTTTCTATGTTTTGAAACACCAATACTTAGCAATATGCTGTAATTGCCTACAGTGTTCTTTACAGTAACATGCTATACAGGTTTGTGGCCTAGGAGCAATCGGCTATACCATATGGCCTAGATGTGTAGGAGACTTCATTATCTAGTTGTGTAAATAGTCTCTATGAAGTTTGCACAACCAAATTTCCTAATATCACATTTTTTAAGAATATATGTCTGTCACTAAATGACATATGACTGTATCAGCAAATGGAATTCAGCATTGTGTAAAAGAAGTTACACACTATGACTAAGTAGGCTTTATCCCAGTGATGCAAAACTAGTTCAATATCAAAAAGTCGATCAATATGATCTTTCCCATATTAAGAGGTAAAGAGGAACAATCACATGATCATGGCAATTAGTTCTTAAGAAGGATTTAACAGAATTTAATACCCATTTGTGATGAAAACTCTGAGAATTCTGGGAAATGAGGCTAAACTTCTCAGTCTTGATAAACAGCACCTACAAAATGCTTTCAGCTAACCTTATACTTAATGGTTAAAGACTGGATGCTTTCTCTCAAAGTCTGGGAAACAAATGTGTCTGCTCTCACCACTCTTATTTCACAAAGTGCTAGAAATATAATTTTAAAAAATTAAATACAGATCAGAAATAAAGAAATAAGACAGTCCCATTTGCCAATGACATGATTGTCTACCTATAAAATTCCAAAGAAGCTACGAAAAACCACTTTTATAAACCTGGTAATTAAGTTCAGCATGTTGAGTATAATTTAAATATATAAAAAGCAATTGTATTTCTAAATGCTACTAATGAATATGAGGGCAACAAAATTAAAAATACAATATCACTTAAATTCACTCAAAATAAAATGGTTAAGTATAAATCTAATAAAACATTTATAACACTGGTATGAAGAAGACTGCAAAACACTGACAGCAGAAATCAAGAAAATCTAAACAAATGGAGGGATGTACTGTGTTTGTGTATTGGGAAAATCAAAGAGTATAGCTGTCAATTCTCCTCAAACGAATATGCAGGTTTAATCCAACCCCTATCACTATCCCGGCAATACCTTTGGTAGATATAAATACTACTAGTATAAGTCTATATGGAAAGTAAAAAAAA